TTTTCATATTTTGTAGTATAAAATCACATAAAAATTAGACAATACAGTCGAAATATAAAAGTGCCTCTTTAATAATATTGCAACTACGAATTATTCAAAATTTTTGTATCCAAGTGTATATAACTGATTTTAGTAAATTTTATCTATTTTTCCACTAATTCAACTTGCACATAGTTTTACTGTACAAATTCGGCCCTGTTTCTTTCATATTTGTACAATAATATAAATATTTGATTTTCGCATTTGCTACCGTGGCGGTTTCTGTGTTATAGTTTATTGCCGGCTATAATGATATGCTATATAATTTTATGCTAACAATAAACTATACAATTACATAATATATATATATATATATATATATATATATAAACTCTTATTAAGTTATAATTTTTAAGGTCAATTTCGCAAAATTTATTTAAACTATTATGCTTTTTACAGGAACAATTTAAAGAGAAAAATATGCAAAAAATAAAATTTGTCAAAGTTTTATCTTGATTATTTCCAAAACTGTTAAAGCTAGAATGTTGTCTAATTTACGAAAATAATAGTAAATTTAATAATCTACAACTTTTTCTTATTCAAAAATAGTATGAAACTTAAACTTTTTGAGATTTTTATGAAAAACTGCAATTTTTCACATTTTACAAAAACATATTCCATTGCTTTCATATATGAAAAATCGTTTATACGTTTTTTTTAATTTTAATCTGAACTTGTGTAAAATTAATTATGTTCTGATAGAATCATTATATATAATATTCATTAACTAATATATTTTTTTAATTTTATAATAATTATTTTATATTTTTACGAAAAATTCTGTCTTGAACAAAAAATTATGTCTCTAATTTTTGCAAGCACTTTTGACTTATTTATTTAAATCTACACAAAAAATAGAATTTGTCAGAGTTTTATATTAATTATCTCCAAAACTATTAGAGCTAGATTATAGTCTGATTTACGAAAATGATAGTAAATTTAATAATCTACAACTTTTCTTATAAAAGATTAGTATGAAACTTAAACTTTTTGAGATATTTATGAAAAACTGTAATCTTTCACATTTTATGAAAACATGTCGTCTATTGGTTTCATACATAGTTCATGAATAAAAAACGGTTTAAAAGTTTTAATTAGAAACTTATATAAAGTTGATTAGGTTCTAATATTGACTGACATTCCGGTTCTGATGACATTAATTATAATATTTATTAACTAGCATATTTTTTTAATTCTATAATAATTATTTTATTTTATCACAAAAAATTCTGTTTCGCACAAAAAAATTATGCCTCTAATTTTTGCAAATACTTTTGATCTTTTTTTAAATTCAAATATCTGCAATTTGTTTCAGTACATAATTTATATAAAATAAATATCTCTATTTTCTATTTATTTAAGCATACAGCAAAAACTTAGTCTTTTATGTATTTAGAAAATATTTTGCGACGGAAAATTTGTATTTTATGATATAACAAATAGAAATATTATATAAGGTTATTAATTACTTTAGAAAATAATTACTTTATATATAATACATTTGATGGAAATGTCATATAGATTGCAATGACGTGACTTGAAGGCACGTCATGGAAGAAAACATAGTAATGCACTCAATACAAATACATTTATAAAATTAAATATAATTAGAAAATTATATCAATATCATATATATATATATATATATATATATATAATAGGTTGTCAAATACTCCCTTCCGCCTTTTTGTATTATAAACCAAGAGCAAAAAAGCGGAAGGGAGATATTTGACAACCTAATATATATATATATATATATATATATATATATATATTTATATTGATTTTTAAAATTGCATGTATCTGTTTAATTGCTAAAAACAATTTCATTACTAGTATAAACTAATATATATAGTTTCATACAAAATTTAGTATAAACTGCACGAAAAATTTATTTATACTCTTCTCAGATTTGGATAATAAAATCGGGACAAATTTCTGCATTTTTTCTCAATATTTAGAAATTTTTGTTCTGTAGTATATAAATTATTTACATTAGAAAAAACTAGATAAAATTTACTAAAATTTAGTATAAACTAATTTATATAGTTTCATACAAAATTTATTATAAAACAGTACAAAACTTTAATTTATACTCTTCACAGTTTACAACAAGTATAAATAAAAATATCTAGCGAAAATAAAATAATTTTCTTGTATATATAATTTTTTTCTGATAAAAATATTATTTTTAATATATCAATTTACATTGTTTATTTACTTAAAAAAATATATATAATGATTTTTGTTACATACATACTTTATATTTTATTATATTTCAATTAATTAATCAATCATCTATACATAGTAATTAAAATCACATTTCATCCTTCAGAAAGAACATTAATTTTATTAAGGGAAATTGTCAAGAAAATTGTTAAATTTATGTAAGAATATAATATTAGTATAAATTAAATAATAGTAATTAATATATATATATATATATATATATATATGAAAGTATAAACAATTTCTCAATTTTTTCAAAATATTTCAATCGCCACATTTTATTAATTATTTGTCCTAAGAAATACGCGTTGAACCAGAACAAGTTTGAAGCAATTTTAACGCATTTTATCAAATTTCTTCTACAATTTCTTTCTCAAATCAATTCACTACAACTCTATTTATTTATTTATAGCTCTTTAAGTCTATTTTTATCCTGAAATTAATTAAAAATCATTCTTTTTGTTTCAGATCAACAGGTCGCCTTCGTCCGACGCCCACACTGCCGTCGATTTTACTGAAACTCAACAAGTTGTGGTTTCTGCACTTTTAATTTACCGATTTTTTAATTAAAAAGAAATCTATATACACCTAGTTCGATAAATCAGATAATAGACTCTTTAAAATTTTGTTCTGTGGTAAAAGTAGATATAAACTTAATAAAACTGATCAAAAACGCATCAAGTTCTTGACAAAGTTTTGGGTAAAACTTGTCGATACTTTTAATTCAAATTTTAATCGAATTTTTGGTTTTTAAATATATAAAAGTAAATATACAACTAGTTTATTAGATCTAAAATCAGAATTTAACCATAATTGATTCAAAACTATAGAATTTTATAAAATATACAGATTTAACACGTACTGGTTATAAATTAGACGTTTTTTGGGGGTTTTGTCCAATTTTTTCGATTTAAGAGACATGTTTTTGTTTTTTGTTGGGTACAAAAAATAATTTTTGCTAAATTTAGTTTACAATTTATCGTTTTTTTGTTATAAAATATAGTGTGCAAAATAAATATACACCTGGTTTATTGAACTTGGACGAAAAAACTCCAAAAATTTGTAAAATTCAAAGGATTTACATCTGTAGGTTCTAAATTAGATGTTTTTTTGGATTTTAACCAATTATTTTAGACTTGTTTTTTTTCTGAATATAAAATATTATTTTTTGATAAAATTAGTTACGATTTAATTGATTTTTTGTTTTAAAATACAGTGTGCTAAATATACACCTGGTTTATTAAATTTAGACAAAAAAAACTCCAAAAATTTGTAAAATTTAAAGGATTTTTATACACTTTTTGGATTTCAACCAATTATTTTAGACTTATTTTTATTTGTTGATGTAAAATATAAATTTTGTGATAAATTTGTTTATATTTCATCGATTTTTTGTTTAAAATTTCATTGTTATAAATAATTATACACCCTGATTATTAAATCTAATTAGAATTTTCTTGGATTTTTATAAAGTTCTAGAGAAAAACTGTTATTACGTAACCGATACTTTTTGTCACTTTTTTATTGATTTTAATCAAATTTATTAAGCACAAATATTAAAATTTGGTATATTAGATAAAAGTACACATAGTGTATTAAATCTGGTAAAAATCGAATAATTTTTAACAAGGATTTGATAATTTTTTAGGTAAAAGGCGTGATTCATAGATCACAGTTTTTGAGGTTTAATTCATTTCATTTAATTTTACATTTTTCTATTTGTTGTTTTTGATAAAATATTAATTTTTGATAACTTTATTACCAATTGTGTCAATTTTCTTCCAAAATTTCAACCAAATACGACAAACTAATAACCAGTTGTTGGACTCAACAAAATTTGTTTAATTTTTTTTGCTAACAAGTTATTTATAAAATTGACCGAAAAAATAAATAATTAAATAAATAATAAATAAATAAATTTAAACGAATTTACAAACAAGTATACAAGAACTTATACCAACAATTCAACAAATTTTTTGATTGATAAACTTTGTCAGTTGTAGTAAAAATTTACCAGATTTTTAAATCCGCTGGCTCGAATTTGAACAAATTTGAATAAAATTGTACCAGTTGTATCCAAAATTTTAACCAAGAGACAAAAGCAACGTGCCAACTTAATTCTTTGATTAACTTTGTCACCAGAATTTATTTACCAATAAGTTGTTCAGCAGTTTTAAATTCGCTAGCTCGAATTTGAACAAATTAAAAAAAGTATATACCAGTTACAACCAAAACTAAAACCAAGAACTAGAAACAATGTGCCAACTTGTTTGTTTAATTAACTTTGTCAACAAATTTTTTTACCAGTAAAGTGACCAGTTTTTAAACTCGCTAGCTCAAATTTGACCAGATCTCAAAAATTTTTTTTGGTATGCAAACCAAGGTTTAAACCAACTTGAACAAGCAAAGTGCCAAGTTTAAAAAAATTGTTAACTAGTAAAATAGATTTTACCAATAAGTTGACCAGTTTTTAAACTCGCTAGCTCAAATTTGACCAGATCTCAAAAAAAAAAAAATTTGGGATGCAAACCAAAGTTTAAACCAATTGGTAACTAGTGAAATAGATTTTACCAACAAGTTGAGCAGTTTTTAAACTCGCTAGCTCAAATTTGACCAGATCTCAAAAAAAATTTTGTGGGGATGCAAACCAAAGTTTAAACCAATTTGGCCAAACAAAGTGCCAAGTTAGAAAAACTTTGTTAACCAGTAAATTTGTATCAATTACCATGATCAACAAATTTGTTTGTCCCCTGTGATCCAAAAAACGTCCAAAATGTTGGCGTCTTGTACCAACGGAACTTTAGACTTAGATGCTCGTCTCTGCCACAACGATTCCCTTTGGCAGAACGTCTCCGACGATTCTGGCATAGACACATGGGCAATTCAACGTATAGTATCCACAGTAGTCCCTATTTTCTTCACCATCATCGGCCTGGCTGGACTTCTAGGAAACGCCCTTGTGGTCCTAGTGGTAGCCCTTAATCCTGGCATGAGGAGCACCACTAATATCCTCATCATCAATCTGGCAGTAGCAGATCTCTTGTTTGTGATATTTTGTATCCCTTTCACTGCAACTGATTATGTCCTGACAGCCTGGCCCTTTGGGGATTTGTGGTGCAAGATTGTGCAGTATCTGATTGTGGTGACTGCTCATGCATCGGTCTATACTCTGGTTCTGATGAGTTTGGATAGATTTTTGGCAGTTGTCCATCCTATTGCGAGTATGTCGGTTAGGAATGAGAGGTATGCCCTAAGGGCTATCCTTTTGACGTGGACTGTGATATTGACGACTGCTATTCCGGTGGCGCTGTCGCATGGAGAAGTCAGGTAAGGGGGAAAAATTTAGATATCTTGGAAAGTATGATAGATACGATATTTGTGTGAATGGGAAAAATTTAGCTTATTTTATGCTCTAAAATCTTGTTTTACAGTTATATAACATAAAATTTATATTTAGCGAGTTATTTGACAAAAACTACAACATTGCACATTTGATGTGAATCGAGGCGAGAGAAGTAGATAATTAGATTAAGAAAGTCGGGTAAAAAAAATGTAAATTTTTTGAAATTTAATATCTAGAAAACTGTAATAGATAGAATATTTGTGTGAATGGGAAAAATGTAGCTTGTTTTATACACTTTAACTTTATTTAATAGTTATATAATAAGAAATTCATATTAAGCGAGATATTTGACAAAAACTAAAACATTCCATATGTAAATTGAGGTAAGAGGATAAGACAATTCGGAAATTTATATCTCAAAATCTATGACAGATACGAAATTTATATAGATGAAAAAAGTGTGGCTTAATGTATGCCTTAAAACTTTTTTTAATAGTTATATAACCAAAAATTAATATTAAGCGAGATATTTGATAAAAACTGCAACATTGCACATTTGTTTTCTTTTAATTTTATACTGCATCTTTAATTTTGCATGAGGAAGCTAGGTAAGGGTTAATGATAATTTAAAAATTAATATCTCGAATACTCTAAACAATAGAATATTTGTGTGAATAAACAAAATGTAATTCGTTTTATGCTCTTTAATTTTGCTGAATATATGTAAAACAAAAATATTATAGTAATCAAGATATTTGTCCAAAACTAAAACGTTGCCTTTGTAAATTGAGGTAAAAGGACATGGCAATTCGGAAATTTATTTCTCAAAATCTATGACAGATACGAAATTTATGTAGATGAAAAAAATGTGACTTAATGTGTGCCTTAAAACTTTTTCTAATAGTTATATAACAAAAAATTAATATTAAGCGAGATATTTGATAAAAACTGCTACATTGCACATTTGTTTTCTTTTAATTTTATACTGCATCTTTAATTTCGCATGAGGAAGTTAGGTAAGGGTTAATGATAATTTGAAAATTAATATCTCGAAAACTATGAACGATAGAATATTTATGTCAAAGAAAAAAGTATAGCTCATTATATAATCTTTTATCTTGTCAAATAATTGTAAAACAAAACATTAATATTAAGCGAGATATTTAACAAAAACTAAAACAGTGCACAATTTTTTTATGTAAATCAAGGCTAGAGAAGTAGATAATTTGGAAATTTATATCTAGTAAACTATGAGAGTTACGTAATTAATGTGGATGAAAAACATACAGCTAATTTTATGCTTTTTAACTTTGTCTAACAGTTATATAACATAAAAAAGTTATGATAAGCGAGATATTTGACGAAAACGACAACATTGTACATATTTATATTAATTTTATACTGCACATTTGATTTTGCATGAAAGAGTTAGGTAAGGAAAAATGATAATTTGAAAATTAATATCTCAAAAACCATAAACGATAGAGTATTTATGTAAATGGGGAAATCTAATATAATTTTATGCTTCTCAACTTTGTTTAATAGTTATATAACAAAAAAATATTTTAAGCAAGATATTTGACAAAAACTAAATGAAAAATGACTAAAGGTAAGAAAAAATGATGGTTTGAAAATTAATATCTGGAAAACCGTTGACGATAGAATATTTATATTAAAGAAAAAAAAAGATATTTTTATGTCTAATAGTTAAAGGAAAACAATTTATTCGAATACATATATAATATAAAATGTATATTTCTCGAGATATTAATTTTTTTTTATTTTTGCAGATATTCCTACGGAAACGAAGGCTACTCTTCGTGTGTTTTCCTAGAATCGGCAGGATATTCTAGACCTGCCTTTCATATATCATTTTTTGCCTCTTCTTATGTAATGCCTTTGACTTTAATATCATTTTTATATATGAGGATGTTGGCAAGGCTTTGGAGAGGACCTATGTCTTCACATCATTACAGGGTAAGCGAAATTTTCATACAAAAGTAAAACATTTTTTTAGAAATTTTGGTTGCAGTTGACTTGCTCTATTTTGAAAACGGTTCAAGATAGAATTTTGGTTATAAAGCAAAAAATGTGCAGAATTTTGTGTACTATAAGATTGTCTAAGACATCTGTACTGTATATAGTACAGGAAATTAGATATTTATGCTGAAGTGAAATTGGTGTGTAAAGGCTTCAGGATATTGAAGCGCGTTACTCCAGAATGTCGAAAACGTTCTTTTGCGTTGTATAATTTTTAAATCTCAATTTTGAAGTTTACCGAGTTGCTGTAGAGTTTCACAATATTAGACAATATCATAACTAATTTAATTTTAAATAAATTTGCCAAATATTGCATTCAAATTACAATTCAAAAGTTACAAGACATATAATAAATGTTTTCCCCAACAAGTTATTAGCATAATTTACGGTATTCACATCCGATTTTAATGATTCCACGTATAATTATAAAATTATTAATTAGCATATGAGTCATATTCGAATCAAATGAATTACTAATTAATAGATTTATTGCTATTTATTGCCAATATGAATCGGAAATGTCAACAGAACACATAATGAGTCCCACGTGAAAATTCATTTTGAAGAGAAATATTTGTGAGGGAAGATTTTAATTAATTTTAGTTCCAGAGTAATTAATCGGGTATTTTTAATTATTCAAATTTAATATGGTAGAATACATATGAGGGATAAAATTAATTTTTTCCGGCGATAAAACATGTAAGCGTATTTTTATCATTATGTAAAGTCTGTATATAGTTTTATCAGACGTGCAGTTTAAATTGGAATTTTAAAGTATACCGAGTTGCAATATGATATATATACCGTTAGACAATATTTTAGACAATTACATCTTAAACAAATTCATCGAACACATAATTCATTTAAATCGAATCGTTCAAAAGTTACAAGAGATGTAATAACCAAACTCCCAAATAAGTCATCAAAGTTAATTCCTCCCTTTGTCAATTATATTTTTATTGTACCCCGAGTTGCTGTAGGGTCGTTTATCCCTAAATTGTGTCCACTCGTCTACATTATTTTCTATATATAATTCCACAGGAGAGTCGACATTAGCATATTTGCATGTAGTTAATTTTAAACAGAAGTAGTTATTCAGGAGCAAGAGCAAGTGGGTCGAAACAAATGAGAAATTACCATATAAATGGCAAATGTTTTATTTGCGAATACAGAGAGATGAATTATAACCTGGAAACAAGGTGAATTCAGGTTTAAAGAAAAATATGTGGTGTTCAGAAATTATTAGGATCGACCCGGTGTAGTGTTAATAGCCAATTGGGGAAAAAAAGACTTGGATGTGCCTTTTTGTACAGTATCTATTGTAACTTTTAAACGGTTTGTTTTAAGTACTAGGGGTATTCTGCAAATTTGTGCAGAATTAAAATGTCTATAATATTGTTTAACATCATATTGCCCTAAGGCAACTTTGGATACTTCAAATTTGCAATTGAAAATAGACTAAGATAATTTGCATAAGCTCATTCAGGTATTTAGTTGTTATATCTCTTGTAGCTTCCAAACGTGTTGTTTAAATTAAATTGTATATTTAGCAAATTTATGCAAAATTGTTTAGCTTATAATATTGTCTTATATTATTATGACTTACAGCAACTGGGTATGCTCTAAAATAAAAATTGAACTTAGCCAAATATTTAAAGAATTGAGTTTGGTATTTATTATATTTTTTGTGACTTTTGAGCGGTTTGTGCAAAGTAATTCAGATCTTCGAAAAATATGTTTAAAATTGAATGATCTATACAGTTGTTTAGTATTGTATGACGCTACATCAACTCGGCTTACTCTAAAACCGTATTTACCAATAAGAAATTTATCCTAGTTATGTTTGATAAGTTATTTGGGCATTCATTTATTATATATGCTAAAATATATTAGCATATCATAAAACCCTAAAACAACTCTGTATACTTTTAAACTGCTTTTGAAAATGCCAAATATTCTGAATTTGATAACAATTTGAATGTAACTCTTTTTTAAGTGTATTCATTTACTAAAACTTATGTAACTTTTGAATCGTTAGTTTAATATAAATGAAATATTTGGCAAATTTGTACCAAATTAAATTATCTATCATATTTTTCAACATCATAATGACCCTCAGCAACTGGGTATACTTTAAAATTGCAATTAAAAATAGAGAAATTAATCCTTCTAACTTTGACGACTTATTCAGACATTTTTTATTATATCTCTTATAACTTGTACGTTATCTGCTATATTAGATAATTTTCATATCTAATATATATAAATACTATATTCGATAATTTATTTGTTAATAAAATTATCTGTGAATTTTTCTAATACTATAGTAATTAATTAATAACCTAGAGTCTACTTATAAATTGGTGTTGAAATACAAAATCATATTTTAAAATTTTTATACATACATAAAATACAGAGTATAAAATTATGAAGTTATTTATTTTAAATAAAAATTAAGAAAAGTCATAAGTTGTAATCTATTAAGATCATACATCTCTTATATTTACAGATAAAAATATTAATAAATTTTAAATATTTTTTCACGAATACATTACAAATAGTGTATAACAAAAAAATAATCAGATAAAATTCTGTATTATGCTAAAAAAAATCAAACTTTTTTATATACTTTGCACAATTTTTTGTATTGTTTTCTACAAAATCTTTGATACTTTTGCTCATTTCAACATGACTCCCTAAAAAATGAAGCAAATTCCCTCAATTTTTTCCTCAATTAAATAAAAAATGCATTTCATTAATAAAAATTCTTCACTCTATATCTCTATAAAAATTCACCGTTTGTTCTCGAATTATTGTACTAGATAATCCAATTGAGTTTTTAATAATAATGAACAACCGTCGAAGGATTAATCTGACGTTTTATTAATTGAACAGCAAATGATTGTTTGCTGCACTTTGCACGAAAGGATTTAATTGCATTTTTAATTAACGAACAGAGAAATATTTGCTGCCGGCTGCCGGTGACATATTATTTTTATCCGACAGAAAAATGCACTTTTTGTGATGAATGGAAAAAAAAAATTGGGACTAGTCGAGAGATTTTTGAATATTTGATTTATTTTATGACGCTGGAATTAAATTTAATGCTTAATTGCTTTATGCAATATTTTAATATTCTAGCAATTGTTTAAAAAATGTAGAAGTTTGGTGATTTTTGTACTCGTGGGTTTTCACAACCCAGAAAAAAATATTTCTGGGTTTTTGGTTTGGATAGAAACTTGATTTTAATTTACTTAATAAGATTACAGTAAATAATAATTTTACAAACTTATCAACTTCCCGTAAGGAAAGTTGTAGTAATAGCAAAAAATCGAAAATAAAATTTTTTATATATCTTTACGTTTCAAAACCTTCTGAACATTTTGGCATACCTTAGAAAAAATCGATGTATGTGTGTGTGTATGTGCCTGTATGTGTGTGTGTGCGGATACAAATTTTCGTCGACGATTTCGGGAACACGGATGAATCGATTTGAATAATTAAAAAAACATTCAATTCGTATTGATAAGGAGACGTGCTGATTAGTTTTTGGCGAAGGCAGGTCTAGCCGTTCTGAAGAAATGAGACAAAAAGTGCCAAAAATGGTAACTCAGTTTTAAAGAGAACGGAGCGTCCGATTTTAATAATTCAAAAAACACTTTACTTGTATTGACAAGGTGAAGAACCGATCAAATTTTCATAGAGGCAGGTCCAGCGGTTTCGGAGATCTAATGAAAACAGTAACAAATAATGCCATTTGGCAGTTAAAAATGATCATTAGACATATGCACATCAAATTATCAGATATTTTGTAGAGATTTTAACAATAAGTATAAATTTTGTTTATATTCCTATGGGTTCCGTACCAATGCTTATCCGTTAGACGGTGACGCGGCGCTTACGCGCTTTGATATTTTTTCTCTATGCAGTTAAAGCAGTACGATTGCTTTGAAAAAAAGTTTAGATCTTCTAAAATATGTCAAAATAAAGAAAAATTTTTTTTCAAAAATTTTTTGTCCAATTTATAGTTTCTCAAAAATCTTATTTTTTCGAAGTAAATTTTTTTCAAAAATGTTAATCCTTTTTTTAAAAAATAATAATTTTTGGTACGGATGCCTTAATTGCCTTAAGACAGAATTCCACTTACAGCTAGTTGAATATTTGATTTATTTTATGACACTGGAATTAAATTAAATGGTTAATTGTATTATGAAATTGAATTGCAACCAAAATTTGTTATTATCATTATTCACTATGTTTAAATCATTCTTAAAAAAATATAAACATTTTTCTAGAACACGATTTATCGATTTTTTTCACCCCAACATATATTGTATAATGTTTTCTATTGATTCATAAATTGCGCCATCAAAATCTTCATACATTTATTTGATTCATTTATAAATTTGGCAACATCCCACAAGGACAATTGCAGTTGCACGTGATTCTTAAAATTGTGCAAATTCATCTTTAGTCTTCGGCTGACAGTCGATGTCGTCGGTCGTCGGTCGTGGTTTGTTTTGATTTTTATCGAGTGCAATTTTATTCGGGTGTCGTGTGCTAATTTATCAGAAAATACTGAGAAATTCAATTTGTAAGTAATAAATATATATTTATAATTAATACCTGTTACTATATACAGTATAGATTTGCGTGAAACAATAATATTCTGAATTTTATTCAATTTATTTAACAATTTATATCTGCTTAATATTTGACCTTGAACGTATGCAGGTGTTTGAGAAGTCGTAACTTTTGTATTCATTGATGCATTTATAGTCCGTAAAGCAAGTTTATTAAAGATTTTGTTAACTAGTTTATATTTTTTATATTATATAATATTCTAATAGTTGCTTAAGTCGTACCCCTTAAGAAAGTGAGGTTATATTATTTTGTTCAATTACATTAAGGGGGTATTCTAGTGTAGAGCGATGAATTTTAGGTCATTTTCAAAGTGTCGTAAAAGAATGCAATGAATGTTTTTACTATCCATTTTTTACCACTTGTTTATTAATATTATTAAAGTACAAAACAAAAATTAAACTAGCTGTAAGTGGAATTCTGTCTTGAGGCAATTATGGCATCGTGCCTTAAGGCAAATTGCTGGAACTTCCCTCACCGTAACGAAATGTTCGAGGAATACTGAATGTTTTCAAATAGATTATTATAAATATTGTAACATTGTGTAATATTTATAAGAATTATATAAACCGAATTGCAGAGTTGTAATTATTTGTAAAGTATATTAGAACTATAGTCAGAATTAAAAATAAAATATGAAATATTTTCGATATACAAAAATACTAAAAAAAAATCAATTATTTTGTTAAGGCAAGCAGAAAGTTCTTTGAATCATTTAAATCGGACGCTTAGTTCTCTCAAAAACTGCCATTTTTTACATATTTAGCTCCGTATCTTTGAAATGGCTGGGCCTGCCTTTGCCAAAAACTAATAAACACTTCTCCCAATCATTACTAATTGAATGTTTTTTAGATCATTCAAATCGGATACTCCGTTCGCTCACAAATTCGATTTCTATTTTCTGCACTCTTTGCTCCGTATCTCCGAAACGGCTGAACCTGCCTTTGCCAAAAACTAATCAGCTCTTTTCCCTATCAATAGGAATCGAATGTTTTTTGAACCATTTAAATCGGTTGATCCGTGCGCCCTAAAACGTGACTGGAAATTTGTATCCACACATACATACACACACACACACACACACACACACATCCATTTTTTCTGAGGTATACCAAAACGTTCAGAAACCTTCAAAACGTCGAGAAATGTAAAAATTTTCAATTCCGATTTTCGGCCCATTACAATAACTTACCCTACGGGAAGTTAAAAAAAAGTTGAAAATTGAAAAAATTGGCAGTGATGAAGTGGGTGGTCTCAAAAAATTGGTACCACAGTCTTGACATGATTTCAGCCCTCCTAGCCATCGGAAATGCAAAAAAATAAAAAGATTATTAATTTACAATGATGTCGCAATCGCCCAAACTAGCGACGGGTAAATAGATTTATTTTTTACAAATTGGCGACTGTTTGAAAAAAAAGTGTTTTTTACTGTTTTTTTGAGTTTCTCGATTTTTTTAAAAATACTAAAAATTGGAATTTGGGGATAATCCTAGTTCGGGCTATAGACAGGTCTATAAATAAGACTCTCTGAACATTTCAAATGAATCGGTCGATTAAAACTCTAGAAATCGTGTCAATAGTACTGATAAAGTCTGTTCTGAGAGAAACGCATTTAAAGTTTTGCGTAAAGCCAAACCAGTATGGAGACCGAATTAGTAAAATGCCTATATTCCCGAAAATAGTTTAAATTTTCAAAAACCTTCTCTTTATATAATATTCTTAGATAGTATAGATTTTTTTGAATTTCTACACTAGACTACCCCCTTAAGTCGTACCCTTTAAGAAATTAATGTTATATATTATTTTGTGCAATTACATCAAAAGGAAATCTTCGGTGTTCATCGGATATTTATTTAGGTGCTTTATGGTTGATGATTAATTTATTAATTTTAAATTATTTATTAAGAGTTTTTATGCTTAGTTTCAGACAAAGACAGGATCCTTCAAAAATTAAAAAAAAAAATAGTAACGCGTTTTGATATTTTTGAAGAAAATTGACTTTGTTTGATAAACTTAGTTTCTATTTTTATATTTCAGTATTTTTTGAACATTTTGAACTTTTTTCAAAGCATAGACAAAATAAAATTAGACTCTTTAGGAAGAAATTTCTACATCCACATATTGCTAGTTAGTACAATATACGATGTTTCAGCAAGTTTAGTTCAAAATTTTACAAAGCAAGTGTATATATTAATTTGGGGCAATTTTAGTAAATTTTATGTAGCTTTTAATAATGTAAAAACATAGTTATTTTAGAAAGAAATCGATGAAAATGTCCTAAATCCACATATAAAATATTTTATAATCCTAAATTTCAATCCATTTCTAACACAGTTCCCGTAAATCAATTTAGCTAAAACTTTGCACAAAGAATCTTTAACTCATTAGCTATCTTTTCATATGATTTTCCACTATAGTTGTCATTAAAATTTTCAGGGTAATGGAGGCAGTGCCGTAGGGGCAGCAAGTTCGAGGGAATCACGGAGGGGTAAAAGGCGAGTGACTCGCCTTGTAGTAGTCG